CTTCATTTATTAACATTATACGGTAAACAGGAAGAGCTAGAAGTGCTTCCATCGCATGTGAGGGTATTTGTTTGCCAAGACATGAGAGGCATTACACAAGTGTTCCGAGCTGTTAGAAAACATCGAGTGAGGTTGAGTATAATGCTCATTGTCTCTAATTAGGTTCAGCTGGTTAAAAAATAGAAGCTGATGGAAATCCTTCATGTAAACACACACTCCCTGGTTGAGCAGGAAAAGGTTGATGTGAGATTGAGGAACTGTTTGGTACAGGAAGAAGACAAATCCAAGAGAAGGAACATCGTTGTTTACTTTTAAGATTCTCCAGATATTTTTTGCTCTGATATTCACATCATGAGGATAAAATTGATGATCTCAGCTGTGATGGTGAACTCATCATTTCAGTTGGTACATAGCAGCAACAGGCAACTTTTTGTAGTTCTTCATTGATGAACCTTTCAGCCAGTTGGTAAGTTTGAGCCATGTCCTGCCACCCGAGGCACCAACTTGCTTTGCTGAGTTGTTCCCCTTGGCCAGGATCCATTGATGATGAGTTTGAATCAGTTTGAGCCTGATTGGGAACCTTTGCCAGTCAGCCCATCCAACTGGGTTTCTCCAGAGTGGTAAGCATCTGAGACTGGCATCTTTTAGGGCTTTCCACCTGGACTTACACACTGGGATATAATATAAATACCATTAAACCCAACCCGCTCACTCACTCTCTGTATCTGGACTTGTAGTAACATGCTTTGATGAGTCCTAGGTCTATCACTGGCAGATACTTATTATCATCATCAATCTTGTGTGTTCCCCGAAGTCTTTGTCTCAGAACCATTGTGTTTATCAACAACATTGCCCTGGGTTTTTTTTACCACTTTATTGCCCAGATCAAAGGAGCCTTTTTCAATAGCTCCATTTGTTGCAACCTGGTTTGCAGTGTGTTGTCACCAGGTCACTTTCACGTAAATTCACAGATCTTTCTTCGGGTGACTTTCTGACATTTCCCTCCAATTTTCTTCCATGATTCTGTCAAACTGCTTTGCTTAAACAGACCATTAACATTTGCTTCACCAACAATTTAATTAGTGAAGGTGAAGGCCCTTCTGATTCGGTTCCAAATGTGTTATGTGTTCAGACACTTGAGAGAAGTGTGCACAAGCAGCATGGCAAACAGCCGATTACATCACCAGACGACTGGCACATTCACAGCACTGAGACTAACTCTGTCGAGTGTGTAAGTCGCTTCTTCAGCCTGTAGGAGATTCCACTGGTGACATGAAGCATTTGCCCTGGCTTAAGAGTAATTCTGACTTCAGGGTGGACAGCGTCTTATCAGAACCGCCATCGTTAAAGCAATCTAGACTCGCCAAAAAGTGCCTCCTCAGTTCCAGTATGCCAGGCAGTGTACAATTCAGTTGACTCTTTCACTGGTGATGATTGATCATTGTTACATCAAGTTGGAGAACTCAGGATCAGGGGTTAAAAAGATTCTTTACAATTTTTTATTTCTCAAACATAATCAGAGGAAGATGTTTTGAATAGAGAATCTGCAAAGAGATGAACTTCCATCAGGAAACAGATTTTTTCTTTACGTGAAAGCCAAACCTACACGAGAGGGCAGTCCTGAAAGAAATGTTTCTTCATTTAAGAAAATAATCCAACGTAATGCTGAAAGTGATCTTGTAATGCAGATATTGTTATCACTGAGGAAGGATTGGATCTTTGAATACATGGTTGTCAATCACCAGTGTAGATAGACTGAATGTCCGTCTCAAGTCAGCTCCTTAGAGATAAACTAGCTAAGTGGCCCTCCATTATCATCCTAAGATGAAAAGAAAACTTCTTGTCCCAGTTGTTGTTCCTGCATTAAACAGACAAATTTTCTCCAATCATTAAATGCAAATGGGAATATTTTTGTAAAATTTTGGAGGATATTACCCCAAGGAAGCCTTAATTGTCTACACATGCAAGGATAATTCTGCAGTTAAGTGTAAAAACAGAGCCCAAATCTCATGGATCAATGCTTATTACGACATGAAAAGCCTGATTACGCAGGAAAGAGACGTTTTTCATGTTCGGTTTAATAGCAGGATAGGTACAAGATTGATTAGCAGTTTTTGGATGGATGCACCAGACTGAAAAAGAATGCATTTTTGGCCAGCAAGAAAAAAAATGTTAAAGACTTCATTAAATGTGCCAGAGATTGTGGTGAAATTGGCCAATATCCTCTGAATTTGATGACTCTGGTCAACTGGTTTCATGTATCTGGGAACCTTGCTTGTTTCTTGCTGTAGCTGAAGATTGCAGAAATAATTGGAGCGGACTCAAATGAAATGCTGGAGGGGGCACAAATTTAGTTCTCCCCATTTCGCTTTTGGTGCCCTTGACCATGACCTTAAAAGCAGTGTTACACGTTTACAGTGTGACAACAGCAGCTGGATGATGAATGTATACTGCTCAACAGTTTCCAAGGACAAGAATAATGTGTTTCTTTCATCAAAGGTGGCCCTTGGCAAATGTTGAGTAGTATAAAACAAACAAGGGCATGTCACTGATAACAAAAACAGGCTTGTTTGAGGATTAAAGAGTGAAACCATTGCATGAATACATCTCCCAACCCACGCTCTCCTGGGCTGAGTGGCTGGATCACATGCAGTGGTGTTGAAACTGTGGCACTAGGGAATATAGCATTATGATTCCATAACTCATGGATATTCAAGTTAAACATTTTTCAACGTTGTTTTCCTAATTGAATTGACTTTTTTATTGCAACATTATATAGTGTTTCCACATAATAGTTTATTGACTAAGCATCAACTCATAGCAGTATGGAGTTTCAATGTTGTAACATCGCTGAGCATCTTCTAGATACAATATGGTAACTAAACTGAGCATTGTATTGTCACATGGGGCTGCAACATTGTAGTAACTTGACTCAGCATAAAGCTACTACCTGTTATCCCTAGTATCACCTCATGGGTAATATTTCTCCTTCAGACCATCTGTTCCTACCCAAAATAAACAGACCACTGGTCTTGACACAGCAGAAGGTGATCTTGAAATGGCATCTGTTCTGTGGAGCAGACTGGTGGTGTAAATCATCCTTAATGGTCATTTACATTGGATGTTATGGTAATTTATCACATCTCTGGATTTGATAGGAGGGGAATTATGTTTAAGTTGCAACTGGTGAATATACACAATACTCAACTTATTGCCTCCAACTTCTCCTTTATCAGATAGGTTTATCTTAGAGTTTTGGGAGTTTATGTATATCGGTATCATCAAACATTCTTGATAGGATTAACATGAAATTTCCTGTTAATAAAATCCATATCTCAGCTGTCTGTCTTTATTCAGCATTAAAGCAGAAAATTTTATACCTTGTGATGAAGATGATTTCAACTTCCACTTTCTTTCAATGCAACATTTTGGTACAGATGCTGCTACCCTTTTTGTTGATACTGCAGCTTCTAAAATGCCACTTAAAGATACACATCTTTATTTTTGGTGAACTAGATACTTTTTCATTATATTTGTTGGGTTAAAACCTTGTACTGATATTTCTGTGATGGCATGATGTGGTGGGCGAGAATACCACCAAGACTCTCCCACCGAGCAGAGAGCTTTCACCTTCATCAACTCTGCATAAGCTAAATCCACCCAGCTCTGTACCGCAAAATAATTGATTGCAATGAATTGCTTATTTGTTAATCAGACAAGCTGAGTACTGTGTTTCAGAAGGCTGAAGATATTGATTCTGTAGATTGACTGGTTCCTATTGTGGGATGGTTGATGGCGACAAAGTATATAAAAGCATTGTACAAATATTTTGGTGTTAGGGGAATCTGTTGTTGGAAGTGCATTAGGGGATATTGGATTTGTCATTATTCTCAAATAGACGTCATAAAAACTAAACCTCACACAGAAATGGTTTTTATGCTACTTCTTCCTCATTCATCCCTCAAACATATGTGGATATCGATGAGGGGAATATATTATCCATAACTACCAAAGAATGCTAATGTGTTTTTATGTTTTCCTTATGCTTGGTCACTGGCCTTTGGGTGGTAGTCTTGTATGAGCTATGGCTGGGAATACTACAGGCCATAGTGGCTAGTTGTTTAAATTCTTTTGGTGTTTTACATTCTTTATTTATGTAAATGAAAAAGTATTGAAGTCAATTCTTAAATATTGTTGTTGTACAGATAAGACCAAAAGAATAATCGTGCAAAAATTGAGTTTCCGGTTGAAGGATCTGGGTTTTACTGTCTACTTCTTACAGAAGCATGAACCCATCTCTCTCACATTCAGCATCTTGGTTCAAAGCATATTGGTGCCAGTATCTTTTCTTCATGTCAGGACCCATTATGGCTGAATATCAAATTAATTTGCTTTACAAACCATTCATCAGTATTTGGGTACTGATCATATGTTCTGTGCATGGTTAGGCAATGTGACAGTGATTCATGGGGAAAGGGATATTCAGTTCACTATCATGTTGAAGTGATGCTTCTTTTCCCTCCCAATTTAATTTTGAGGACCCTGATTTTGATTGATGTAGGTATTGGCTGGGTCTGGGTGACAGATTCTGAGTTGGGTATGATTGATCTGCATATTTTGGGGCCATAGTCTGAATCTGTGCTTCCTACCAGGTTGGCCTTGGAATATGCGAAAAGAAAATCTGAAACTGATTATTCTGTTTAATATTTTCAGAATGTTTGAGGTTGTTGGAAATCTCAATATTTTGAATACCTTGTGGTCATATCAAAGTGTGCACATTTGTCATTTTGAGAGTTTTGGTATCATTTATTCTTTTAGAGACGATATCATCAACATTATTCCCATGGGGAAGACTTGTATGTTTTTAAGAACTCTTTCTGATCACCAGGTCAGCCTTAATTTAAGATGCTTCCAAATTGACATTTTACCCTTTGTTACATCTGTAGTACTTCACAGCAGTTTTTATGACATTGGTCTAACCAGGAATTCTTTGTTTGCAGAACTATGACACAAGCGAGTCGAAACTGAGGAGAGAGTTTGAAGTGTATGGGCCGGTCAAGAGGGTAAGTCCAGATCGGGAAAATATCACGGACCTCACTTTCACAAAGGAATCAAAGCTGTGAATTTTGTTTTGGTCAGATTGATGGGCTTATGATTGTCTTGATGCTGAGATCCCTTTGTGAAAGTGGTCCGTTTACCAGGAGATTAGTGTGTATATAATGTATGTTGTATCTCACTGATGCAGAAATTATTTAATTCATTATCCTTAATTTTTGTGTTCGGTATATATACTGTCATATCACATGGCTGAATATACTGTCATATCACATGGCTGAACAATTGCTACTGCAAGAATGATGGGCACAAGATACCAGTTGGTTCCTTTTCATGTGAAGGAAGTGATGAGTTATCACTTAGTATGCACACATGACATAACAATGTGTCACTCATTGCCACATTGCATGTGTTGACCTTGTGTCAGCACTCCTACTGAACTCATCCTAGTCTTTATGGAACCTAGACCATTAACCACCACTCCAACACACCAATATTGATATGACTTGTAAGAAGCTCGCACCTTCCTGTTGTGTTGCTGATACATTGCCATAACCCTTGACTGTCTCCACAATACATCTTGTGTTATGACCATCATAAGTAAGTGAATGAATGTTGTTTGTAATATTGCAGCTATATTACTGCAACCTGTAACTAATCAAGCTTGGACCAGACAAACCTGTGTTTGGTGGTAGCGACGATGCTCAGTCAATGAAATCATCCCAGCCTGAACCACGTAACCTGTTTCAGTCACCACTTACTATTGGTCCCTGATAAAGTCAGCGCTAGATATTGGCACTAGTCCCGTAGTCTTTGACAAACTGCCCAATGGTTAGGGAATCATAAGGACAAGTAGAAATTTGTCCTTTTGGAGGTTTTGCTATATGTTATCATTATAAGGACCAGTGGACTAAACCTGTTAGTTTCTAACGCTGTAAAGTATATATCCCAGAAGTCCTACAAGGTGACCATCAGAGGCGATTGTTGAATACTACTTAAAAGAAATTAAGGACCTTCCAATTCTTTTATATTATAGTGTTATAGTGATATGAAAAAGTAATTGTCTATAAATTTTGAGTAGTCTGTGTAAGAGCCATGTGAGAGGCCTGATATGAAGGGGCCAGTCACTGTATCTACCACCTTCACATTGTCCAGGGCTCCAGTCGGCTCTCCTGCTTATGATGGAGACTAATTATACCACCTCCCAAGTTTCTTGTTACTATAATTGTCTAGTTTGTGGCCAGCTCTGGTGTCAGAAACGCCATTCAGAATGAATATCCTAATTGAAGACGACAACTGTTCTAATTTTTGCAAGTGGCCATTTTGACCCTGAAAGAGCCATGGCACACTCCATGAATAGATCCGGCTTTGAATTCTTTCTCATAAAACGTGGTCAGTATTTTCAGGAAAATAATAACCTGGAATGCTCTGAATTACAACTTTCTTTTGTCAGCTAATAATGTGATAAAATTACAATTGCAATTTGGTTTTGCAAGTCTTTCTCTAGCTTTATTGTATAAGAAGGTGTTAACAATCCCTCTGAGAGATCTGTAGTGACTTCAGGACAAACTGAGTCCAGTGTATAATCTGTCTCTGCCTGGTAGACTTCGAATATCATTTTGGTTCGCCCCGATTATGTTTCTAGGTTTGTCAGCACCATACCCATGCTCGTGGGTCTCACCGAAGTGGTAAATGTCTGAGACCTGCATCACTTCGGGCTTTCCTCCCACATTAAGCTGACACACCGGAATAACTGGAATACTGTTAAAGCGGCGTTAAACACAACTCACTCATTCACTCGAATATCATTTTAAGTCCATTATTGTTTCAAGATGAATGTGAATAACATGTTCGAGTTCACCTGTCAAAACATTTGGAATTTAAGTGTTTGTACTAAGTGAACAAGATATCACAGATTTTTTGCTACAAGTATTAAGGATTTATGTCTTCAAAGAAAGTCTAGCCGACAATATATCAAATTGTTTTGCATGGTTTTTTTAAGATGGGTTGAAAATCAGTTAGTTGTGTTGAGAAGCTACCATCCTCAGATAAGCAGACAGCTGTTTGAAATACCTCTTTCTCATACAAGTTACTACCCTTCAAGTCAGATTTTGACAGTCATGTAATACACTTTGAAGATTCTTTGACTGGAGATTTCCCTTGAAACTTCCCTGATTTTTTTTTTTCTTCTGCTACAAATTGCCTTCAGCGGAGTAAGTAGTCATGAATGGTTCACTGATACTTGACGTCAAAAGAATATGTGAAATAGTTGCAACTTTCATATTGTAATGAAACGACATGAAACGGAATCAAATACTTGACATCTTGAAACCGTTAGCAACCAGGAGTGCTTGTGTTATCAAATACACAACAGGTGATGTTGAATATAAATATTCCGGAGTCTCTCTGAGAGATGCAACACACTTCAAGGTTTTCAAAAACACATGGACTTGAAGACTACAGGCAGTCGGATCTTCTCACTGCTTCTTCAAACTGGTGACCTTTGTTATAATTCTCAAATAATCTTTACAAATCACGGCTTTCATGTTTTTTGAAAATGCAGAAGAAAAACAAATGATCTCATCACATTTTGATGAACACTTGTTTCATTTATTGGCAGGGAATCAAGATGTAAGCGTCAAATGCTGTTTGTTTTTGCAAATAATGTGGAACAAAAATCAGCATTCCAGGAAAGTGTTGTCTCGATTCGATTCCCATCACAATTGTGCTTTCATTATTTTCATCCTTTCTCTTGGGAGCATTATTGTTTTAAGTCAACCTAAAAGCTTTATAATGATGCTGCAGTGTCAGAAGGTTGCCGAGGGTCTTCCAACCAACTCCAAGGAGCCTTCCTCTAAACACAAACCTGATTTCCGTGTGGGAGGTTCACCATACAGTAGGCCATTGGCTCTGGATGATTTATTCATGGCATTCTTTGAATGTATATACTGAACAATAATATATTTTTTGTACGAGACGGTTTTGACAGTAACCAGTGTTTAACGTCTTCTGTAAATGTTGCTATTCTTCAGATGTTATTTTGTGTCCATTGTTTTAATTCCTGACTTGTAATCCTGGAATATAAACGTCTCAGTCATAACCACTCTATTTTTTTTAGGGGGAACTGAATTTACGAATGTGAGAATATTGTTTGCCGTGACAGTTTTGTATTGAAAAGCCTTGTCAAAATTGCTTCTCTTCTGTTGATGCAGTTTAGTTCTAAGGGGCATTTTGTTCCTATTCTAAATTTTATGGCTCTTCTGTTTTGGCCTTTGTCCTGTTTTTGAACCAGGTGTTAAGCATATTTAACTATTTAGCTACATCAACAGTCGTGATCTGTCATCATTGAGGTCACAAGTGTGTGTCATGTCTGTCCGGTCAGGTGGACAAGTATTGTTAAATGGTATTTGAAAATTGATTTGATTTTCAGATCAAATTACAGTGTGGTAATACCTGTTAAACGTTTGACACAATTACATTAGCCAACAAACTCTATAAACAATTAAAATATTCTTCCTTTCAGTGTTTATCTGTTCATTTTAATACATATATATATATAATTACTAATAGGGATTTAATAAATTATATATAATGATATCAATGTATTAAGAATTGTTTCATGTTTGTACATTATCAATACAAATGCATGAATGTCAACATTAAATGTCAATGTCAATGATTCACTGCCACAGAATCTACATTCTAGGTGCCAAAAGTTCAATTTTAAACATTTAAGGATCAACCTAGTTCATATTTAGCATTAAATTGATTAATTGCAGGTCTACGTAATTTAAGTAGGTAAATTTTATAGACAAATACAGAACATTGTTTATTTTGAGTCGATATATCAATACTTAACTTTTCATTCAATTACACCTGGCACTTTATTATATAGCATGCCCTCTGTTAATTCTGCTGGCCATAGGCCAAAGGACCAGCTGTTAATGTTGGCCCTTGCCTTCTTGATGTCAGCCATGACACAAACACTTCCTTCTTGTAACTAGGTCAGCCATTGACTGTATGCAGCCTATATACTAATATACTTGTGTTGCTATGGAAACATAATCATTTATGCACGAATGGTTTTGTAGTTTCAGATGCCTTTGGACCTAATTGTGTTATTGTAGACATACAGTTTAGTATTGATGGACCGTGATTGTTCCGGGTTTCTGATAGTATACTGTTTACGAAGCATAGAGCCGAGTCCTGAAGAGCTTGATCACTTGCTGGATCCCAAAGGAGGGGAATGAATGGCACGTGGTTAGCTAAATTACACTCAACTGACATTGTGTATTTCTTGAAAGAGACTGCTGATCCATTGAAGTGAAGCATTGTTTTGAATCCGTAATTGTACGTCAAGTACATGGCAGCGATAGAATTTGGCACAGTCCTTTTGTCCTTACCAAACTGCCCAGTAGAAATTTGCCATTTTAGAGGGGTTTTTCTATATGTTCAGGACTTGTGTACTAAAGCTGTTAGTTTCTATCATGGTCTTTGCGCTTGTCATGTAAGAAGTGGGAGCATTTTAACTGATGCTTCTTTTACAAGTTGCTACATTTACGGTTTAGGGACCAGTCATATATCCTTTGGGTATCAGAAGGAAACTCTGGAGGGTCACCTACCACAATGGGGATCAGATGTTCACAAAGGCTGCTGACTAGGAATACTACCTGGGTTATGACTAGTGAAGACTCTCTCAACTGTCTCATCTCGCCCCTCATCAATGCAAGCTGGTGCTCACTCCATCACCCACTTGTTGAGCCTTATCATACATGATCACTCACTTGCTGTTGTGATGGAGGTGTAATGTCACATGAAGATCTCACTCTGTTAGTGGCACAGGTCCCCAGTGGTTCCATGTGACCCTACGGGCGGTCTGGTAGCCTAGTGGTTACAGCGTTCGCTCGTCACGCTGAAAAACCGGGTTCGATTCCCGACACGGGTACAATGTGTGAAGCCCATTTCTGGTGTCCACCGCTGTGATATTGCTGGAATTTTGATAAAAGCG